AGAGCCCAGGTCCACCTCAGTAACATGAGTCCTGACCACTGCGCCGATTCCTCTGTTGCTGACCAAGCCAGCAGTAGGTAGATGCCTAAAAGCCACACGGCTCAGGCTCCGAACACATGGGAGAGAGGGAGAGCTCAGCCAGATCCTTCCAGCATCCTCCAACGCTTAATTACAGCTGTGTAGTGTCCCAAGTTGTATTGGGGTTGAGTAGGAACAGGAGCTGGGGGATTAAACTCTTTCGAACCCTGCACACTTCTGCACAGACTCCCTGTACTGTTGTAGTTCTTTTAAAAATGAAGGTAAAGATGGATCCCTGTCTTTCTTTTAAAAAACTCTCACAACAGTGCAACGCAGGTGGGTTCGCTTACCAAACTTTTGCAGGGATGGAAGGGTTAGCCCCACTCCTCGTGCAGCCGTGATCTAAACTGGGATCCTGCACAGCTGGAATTTGACTTCCACACTGAGAGAGATCAGTAATCCCACACACATCTAGTCCGACTCTCAGGCTTGCAGTGTAGCTCTAAGTGGCTTCCCCAGGCAAGGATGGGGACCCGCCTGACCTTGAAATTAGACAGGTCTGGTCTAGGTGGGGCATTCTAGTCCTAAAACATGAATACCAGTATTAGCCCCCCCAAAAAAAACGTTTATTGGTGGAGAATAATAATTCACTCCTCTGCAGCCACAGCAAGCTGAAGGTATTCACTAGCAAGTACAGATGCTTTCTGACAACAAGAAGCCTTTTGCTGCCTGCCATTCTCTTGTCAGTTCACTGAACCAACAAGAGTTTGCACACAAACATCAGTGAGAACCACACCTTTCCGTTTGGGCAGGAAAGACATTGTCCTCTCTAGAGTGGTTTGCTAAGAAACCATTACTCCCCCCTGTGGTTATAGTTAGCACTGCAGTATTAAACACTTTCCAAAGCTAAACGAAAACAACCCTCTTCTGAAGGTATTGCCTGATCACTCAATCTTCTTAGAACTGCCACAAAGTAGGAAATAAAATGCTATTTTCTTTTAAAGGGATCAAAGTTAAAATTGCCACCTTTTAATGTTTCAGCATAAAAACTGACTACATGAACAAGCAGGCTGTGTATTCAGATGCGGTGGCCTTGAAAGGATTCTAAGCCTTTAAACTCCCTCCTGTGCCTCTGCTAACATTTTCTATGAACAATACACATGACTGACTCTCTGAAAGATTCACAAATTTCGGAGTTCCAGAATCGAGACAGCAGTTTCCAGCTCTACCCTGTAAGTCATATAACATGTGTACTCTTCATGTACACATATGCACGCATCTACAGGCAGGTTAGCATCCAAGGTCTGAAAAGTATAACCAAAGCAGCTGAAAAACTACACTACAGTAAAATGGTACAGCTATTAGGCCGTGCAGACCAACAGCAACTACTGTGTCACCAGCATAGTAGCCTCATAGGCAGAGCATGAACTTGTAGCTGACCAAAAACTCAATGTGACCATGTGCAGGGCCACCAATGATCCGCAAGTAGTGCAGGTCACTGCAGAGACATGAAGCAGCCACAAGTGGGGGGCTGTGTTTGTTTCTACAGCTATTGTCACCTTTGAATTTCCTAAGCTTTCTTTCAGGAGCTAGCAAAACGTATGCTCTGGTGAATCTTCCCTCCCACAGGTGGCATCATTTTGGCACGGCTAGGGCGTGGGTGGGCCTCGCTTTTCCGCCTCTGCAGCTCTACTGGCTTAGCTGTGAGTGCTCCTCAAAAGGCTGCACTCAATCAAAAACCAAAAAACACCAATCCTATTGCATTGGACAGAGACTTGCTTGAAGCAAACTCCTCCTTGAGCGACGCAATATGGTGTCCAGCGACCATTTGGAAGCCGCTGCCAGCAGCAGCAAGTGACTGTGGTGCCAAAACACTCTGCTGGGACAGGGTCACTGCTATCACGTGCCTCTCCGGGGGCAACTTGCTAGCTTCCAAGGCAGTACGTAACTCATTCGTGTCCCACAACTACCACATGCTTGTTTCTGGATTACAAAACAGCTTCTAGTTGAGGGCCAGTTTAAAGTACCCAAACATTTTTGGTCTCTGTCACTGAGATGCAGAAACTTCACTTTCCCAGTAGTCCAGTTTTCCCTCCGTATTTGTGACTCCCAAGAATTTGCAAGGAGGATGCCTCCGACGGGAGCTTTTCTTGTTTGCTAAGAAGGCATTCCAACCACAGATCATCCCCCATCAGCCTCAACATCTCTATGTCACTTGGTCTTTGATCAACAGTACTTGAACACTCGGCCCCCCGTGGCTCACTTCGCTTCTAGGGGCTCCTGTACTGGGGAAGGTGGCACTCAGGATAATCACTGCAAACTGTGGCATATAGCAGGTGGTATATGAAAGCAACGATGTCAAGAGACCATCATGTACAGTGGACATTAATTTTATTAAAATTCAGTGATAAAACCTGCTAGCGTTAAGTAAAACGACAGCTGCATAGTGTGGATTGGAAGAGAGGCTTTCGTTCCTTTTCTTCATTACACAGTCCAGAGAGGAAATTCTCCACCACTAATTTGCCTGAGAGCCAGTTTAGGCAATCAGCTAATTCAAAAAGTAAAGCACTTCCTGAACTGTACCACTTATGAAAGCAAGGGCTTTTATTTACGCACACATATTTGCATGCTCTCCTATGAATTAACAGAAGCATCAAAAAAGCAAGGGTTTAGGGAGAAGGTTACGTTAGACCCATCTCCCCAACACCCTGTTTTAATGCATAGTTTTTAGCTCATAAAGAAGCATTCAAGCATGCAAGCTCCACTCAGCAATCTCAAACGGTACACATTCAGAAAAAATGCTTCAGACTATGCTGACTGCATGAACTTGCTGTTAGACCTATAAATGATGGTACGAAAAGAATAGAAGTGTGTAAACTTGGCACCTTTATGTATGTTCCTGACTGCTGCAGATACAAGAGGTCTATAATGCAAAACAAACTCTCAGTTTAAATCTTGTTTGAAATTTCAGAGGTTACTTTTTTAAAATGGCATGTTCATAGAGATTTGGATATTCAAAAATAAGCATTCAAAAATGAATACTTATAAAACAAATTCACGTGCTTCTAAAAGAAGTGCAATACAGAAGGCAAAGTAGCATATAGAAGAAGAGGCAGAAAACCAGCACTCCCACTGAGTTTAGAAGAGAGTAGCACAGTTTGAAGCTGAACGCTGCTTGCTAGGTTGAGTCACTTTTTGGAGCTACTCCCTGTCTGAAAATAGTTATGTAATGTACTGGGCTCCACAGTTCACTGCTTTTGCACTGCTGCTAAATTCAAATGGCAATATCACATTTGCTCAGATTTGCAGAAAGGGAGGGCAACAACTTGGAATACTCTGGTAGTTTTCAGGCCCAAAGCTGAGAAGCTACCCCAATGCAAGTGATTTACACCTGTGAAGTCACAATTGCAGTTGCAGACAGGACAAGATAGAACACACGGGAAAAGAGATTGTACACGCACAACACCCAAGCTATACAACTGCATATAACTGCCTGTGATGTCACCTCCATCTTTGCTGAGAATACAAGATGAAGACGGGGTGGGAGTGGCTCAACTCTTTGTCTGCCTGTTCCCCCCTCCAAATCTCCCCTTCCCCAAGTGGATTTCCCCACCCTTGTTTAGTCAGGGGAAAAGGGAAGAGGAGACAGAACAAGCTGGAGCAGGCAAAGGTGCATACAGAAAGAAAAACTTTAGCCAACTGAGCACTGACAGCACCATGCACATCCCTGTGGTGAAATGCTGCCTTGTGCTCATTGGGCCTACTTGGCTTTAAGTATTTGCTGTGTGCACACATACACAACCTGGCAAGGCAGCCTCCCTGCTTCAAAGATTTCAGATGCGCCTGGCTTCAGGCCCCCCCAAGCCACCACAGCAATGGCAAGTCAAGGTGATCACTGGCTACAGCCATTGGAGGTGGAGTTTCCACACCGTGACAGCCAATCCGAAGTGTCCTTTTCCTACCTGACAAAGCCCTGATTTAAACATGCTGCTGGCAGAGGTAAAACAACTCACCCTTGGGACTCTGTATGTCGAATGTGCAGTGACTCACTTAAATGAGGCGGTTAACCATGCAAAGCAGCTATGCAGCATGCCAGTGTGAATGCAATGTCTCATGGATACGTTCTTTTACCTCACCGGCATCACGTTTCAATCACATTTTAGGTAGCATGTGATTCGGTACAGCGCAGGGGTAATCCAAACCCCACAGCCAGAAGATGCTATGCAAGCGGCTCATCAATATTGACAGTCATGCGTGACAGCCTGGGTTGGCTAGACCAACAACTACAGAGAGTTTATTTTTCCTAGACTCCCTGCAAGTTTCCATGTAACCAGGTCTCATGTTTACTTCAGTATTAATTTTATACTCTGTACTCTTCTTTCCCAATTTTACTAAAATGAAGTCTTCTAAAATTACCGAGTAGGATTTATGAACTAAAAACTTACCCTTCCCCAAAGAAAATACTCATTTGGTTTTATTTCAGCTGCCTTCCAGAGCAATTTGTTCACTCTGGATTCAAAAAGGTAAAGATCTGCTAAATCTTCTCTCCAATCTGGAGGATTTTTGTTTTAAAAAATGGCACTACCACTATTGGGTTTTAGCTTCTTGGTGCCAACAAAGTTTCACCAATGCAAGAAACAAAGCAATGCCATCGTGATGGTGGAAAATGTGCGTGCGTTCCTGCTTGTGTTTTGCTAACATGCGGCTGGATCCCGAGCAGGGAGTGGTCCTCCCATCTGACTGAGACTTGGCTGCCTCTTCATGGCAACGAGCCCAGCTTCTCTTGCTACGAGGACGGCTCTGCTCACTCCCGCCATCCTTCCAGTTACCAAGCCACATCCACATATGGAACAAAGCATGCTCATGCAACTGGGGGGAACCACCACCACCAGGAATGCATGCCACAGAGGATGGATAGAAACTCCACGATTCACTCAAGGATGCAGAGGGAAAGAAATGCTCACTTCATCACAAGCTGGACACTAATCAAGGCTCTTAAAGTCTTCGTGAAACCTCTGTGTCAACTGCAACATGTGCTAGATTTGCCACACGGGAAATGTGAAATGTATGCATAGGACGCTGGCTTGTCATCAACCTGCATTACAGAGACTCCACTCAGCACGTTTCCACCCTTGTCCCTTCCTCACTGCCATTCCACACATCCCCAAAGGGGGTGGGGGGAATGACAGCCTTTTGGAACTTTCAACTCATGTTCGGAAGGTAAAAAAACCCAACCCTGCAAATTCAAGGGGCTATGAAGACACCGTCCAGAGGACATGGTCAGGTTTCTCTTTCAGTGCCACAGTTCCTTCTCAGCTAAAAGTTTCAATGTGTTTGTTTGAAACCATAGCCATATAAATAGATTTTTTTTAAAGTTACAGAAATGCAAACCTCTTATATGGAAAAAAAGAAGAAAATGAGAGATGTGAGGCCTGATTATTGTCCTAAATCAGGCAAACCAAGAGGGGATTTCCTTGGGGGGGGGGAACTTGCCCACTTTCAGTCACATCCTGATGGCACAGCTGCCTACGCGTCTTCGGAACCAGCCAACATGCCCTTGTCGACGAGGTGTGCCTTTAGTGTGTTGAAGATGTGCAGCTGCTGGTCTGGCCGCAGAGTCAGGAACTGCTGGATCAGTTTGCTTGGATTAGGACCCCTTATAAATGAGGGAAAACAAGTGTTTGGATCACATATCTCCAGGTGGTAGAACCTTGGCAGAGGAGACTCCCTGTTCTGGAATGAGCCCGTGCCCAATTTCATGCTGCTACTTGAATTAAAGGTATGGCTAAGATTCTGTTGCCCTGACCTGGATGGTCCAAGCTATCCTGATCTCATCAGCTAAGCAGGGTCAGCCCTGGTTAGTACTTGGATGGGAGACCACCAAGGAAGCCCAGGGTCTCTGTGTAGAGGGAGGCAATGGCAAACCAACTCTGTTCATCTCTTGCCTTGAAAACCTGATGGGGTTGCCATAAATTGACTGTGACTTGACAGCACGGAACACACAGAGGACGGTACTATCTGATCTGGTCCTTTGAACCAGCCCCCTCCAGTCTCAGGCAGATTCTTCATGGGGGAGGAACCCTTAAGGCTGGCTCCCATTTCTCCCCCATCCACCACTTTCATAACACAAGTTCTGGCTGCATAAAACAAAAATCAAACCATGATTATGAAATTCCCTCCCCAGCTGGAGCTGCTTCCTGGGGATTTGTCTCTCCCCCATCCTGCCTTTCCTGTTGTTCTGTTTCTGGCCTGATTTTAAAATTTCACCTTAGTTTTATAGCAGCGTTTTAAAGTGAATGGATTTTAATGCTATCGAACTGATGATATCATAAGTGGAAAACAGCAAAGGCATCTAAAGGCAATAATTAAAAAAATATTTACCTGATAAAACTGGCAATATACACATTTACGAAAGTGGCCATCAGGTACTGACAGTCAAACCGGTCCATTATGCCGCCGTGCCCTGGGATCGTGTTGGCAAAGTCCTGTGCAATTAAAAAAAACCAAACCCTGCCACTTTAGTGAGATTACTTTTTTTTTGCTTTGGCGGAAATTATATTCACCTACGCATCATGTCTAATTTCTCTGAGTTTGTAAGGAAAGCCTGGCAGATACTTATGTCCAAAATCTACCTGTGGACCCATCACCTCCCAGTTTCTATCCCTTTCTGCTTGGTTGGAAAGCTACTGGCTCTTTCTTATGTAGGATTCAGCACAGCTTCTGCAGTTGAAATGGTGGTGGATTTCTGACCTGCGCTCTACTATACTTACACCAGCAAGAGCAAGCAGAAGGAAGACTCATCAACAACCCCCCACACACACACCCCTTTTGTTGGACCATGTACCAGTGGAAGAGCAGGGATACTTGGCAGGTTTTACTTGCTTTTCATGTTTTATGAATCTAATTTTTTGTTACCTTCCCCACATCTTAGGAGAGGTGAAGGCTAGACATAAGCCAGTCATATATTAAGCTTTTCTCATTACTGATTATCTGATTGTTTAGAACGTGTGGAAATTAAAAACACCCCCAGGCCTGGAGCCAGAAACTTTGGGTTGGTGGGGCACGGGGAAATTTTGTGAGGCAGCGGGGGGGGGAGGGGGAAGCAGCTGTTGTGGGGCCTGAACACCGTAGTTAGGGGCCTGAAACCCCCCCCCCAAAAAAAATGTTTATTTCAGGATTTGAAACTGCAACAAGTCTTGGTTAGACCAAAAGGAGGCTAAATGATCCGCCACCGAACTTTCCCTTACCTTGATTTTGAAGGCTCTTTTAAATCCACTGGCAAAAAATCCCCCAAAGGGACCAATCAGGGAAGCAAAAGTGGAGAGTGCAATGCTGTGTACCTGGAAGGGATACATCTTGACAGTTTTCTGGAGAAAGAGAATTGCAAAGATCATGAGCTTCAACAGCACAGCATATCGCTTCAGGGGGCACAAGAGCAGGAAAATGTCAGCGGTAAGGATTTCTGCTAGGGTGCACATAAATAAAAGTTGTTCAGAGATAGATCGTACATTAAAAAATAACAACCAGCACACCACTGTTGGGATTCTTTTATACTGGTGGCATTGTTTCAAATTTTAAGTACCCTTCCTCCAGCAATTGGGATTAAATTCTCCATAATTGCAGCTGTCAGAGGACGCTTCCCTCCCAACTTCCATCACAACTGAGCCCATCCGCGGGGAGGGTGGGATATAAATGTAATGATAAAATAAAATATAAAATTAAAAAAAAAACTTTCATGCAAGTTGAAGAAGGCATCCTGGTTCAACATGCAGCTCCTTTCTCACTTGTACAGCAGATTAAGGGCAGACGTTTGAGCAGTTCCATCCTTTCCTGGGATCTTCAAGTGGACGGGAAGGGATCTAGAGTCCCAAGCCACTGAGAGGATTAAGTGACGGATGGAAAGAGGAAACACAGCTAAAAATGCCAGTCCTGCTCCCAATAGCTCCATCACGCACATGTCTTTTTTCCCCACTATCCAAAAAGTCAAAACCAGACAGATGGCATCATAGTAACCATTAGAAAGGAAGGCTTCTGGGTGCACTCAAATGTCACAAACAATTTCCTTTTGATACTGTACACTTCAAGCCATTCTAAATAGGCTGGGCCAGACTGTCGTTAGTACAGTTTCCTAGTTTTTTATTACAGTTCTCCTAGGGCTCGATTCTACATTAAGGAATCAACTGGTTTTACTTTCTTCCTCCTGGACTAAATGGCTCTTCGACCTTTGGGTCTATAAACTTCTCTATAAACACCCCCCCTTCCTTTCACATATCAAAACATCTCTTCTTTTGTATTCCCCCCTGCCACAAAGGTACAGTGGCACAGTCAAGGAAGAGCTTGTTTTGTTTTATGTTTTAATTTTGATCAGTAAATACTAGCTAGCTAAACTCAAATTCTTTCATTTACATAAGATGGTTGCTAACCCAACTGTATTATTAGAAAACATGTTAAGAGTTTTAAATAGTTAAGTTCTATACTGAATAGAATATCAAGAATATTTTTAATGTTAAATAGTTTGTATTGTTTGGGATGCTCTGTATCGTTGTATGTTTATTTAATAAAAGCTATTAATTCAAGAAAGAGCTTTATCACTTGATTCTAATGAATAGAGGAACTGTTGTTTATTTCGCTTTATACTTGCTCTGTGAGAGATGTATCCAGGGCCATCCAGGAAACTTTATTACTCTGTGGGGTTTCTGCATCATCTTGGCCCAGCCACCCAAGCAGATGAGGGCCGAAGTACTGATCAGATGAACCTCAAAATAATTTCACTGTTAAAGGTGAATTTCATTTACTTATTGAAACATTTATAGCCTACCTTTCCTCATGGTTCCAAGTGGTTTACAGAAACAGTTAAAAAATTAAAATAACAAATAAAAAATTAAAATAACAAGCCCCAAATCTATCCCCCTTTTAAAAAATGTCTGCCAATTCAGACTCCCTCAAAAGCCCTGGCAAACAGGCAGGCTTTGTGGCACCTCCTGAAGTTCTCCAAGGAGGGCTCCACTCTCCTCTTCAGGGTGTCCATTCCACAGAGCCACAGACACAACGGAAAAGGCCCAGGTTTGGTCAGTGCCAGATGTGCCACCCTAACTGTTGGGACAGCCAGCAGATGGCTGTGTGATGATTGGAATTCGCACCCAGGGACATATGAAAGGAATATATCATGAAACTGTTTACTTAGTTCTTCCATTTGGCCACTGCAACACCATGCTTAAGATAGAATTCAGAGAACCCTGTCATTCAGAGTTATCATACACATCTGCTTTCACAAATCAAAGTTATCCAAAGCAGAAAGCCCAAGAGTAGGGTGCCTACCCAGCCAATGACAGACCGAAGCACTGATGGAATGTTGTACTTCTGTAACTGGAACAGCTCGGAAGGCTCACAGTCTACAGTGAAGCTGTTGGTGTCATTGTTGAACTCCACAGGACACACAAAGCATCTGTATCCAGACATCACGTATGACAGCTTGGTTTGGGGAGAGAAGTGGGAGAAGGTTAACTACTTCCATGGAATTTCTATACATATACATCAAAATGGACGCATCAGATGGCGTCGACACTTGAGGACTGGAGGGAACAACAAACTCTATCATCTATTTCTGAAGGTCGTATCTATCTTTACCGCAATGGTTGTTCTTCCCTTATCCCTCTAACTTGAACAAACGAGTGCTTTTGTACATTTCCCACACACATTCCAGTTCTGTATTTTGCAGCTCTTTCTTTGCATCTACAGAGTTCACAGAGTCAACTTGTCACTGTCTTTCACAGTTCCGATTCATTTTGGCGGGGCTTGCACAAAAGGACTTTCTGGTGGACCTGTCACACAGGGTATGCCTTCCATATTGCCATAGTTAATGGCACCTCATGATCATGTATGTTCATCTCCACTCTTTTCCCCTCCTCCCCGCCAGGTCTTGCAGAAAAATCAGTTAAACACTTACAAGCAGGCCAAAGACAACGGTGGCAAAGAACCCTCCAATAAAACCTTCCCATGTCTTCTTTGGGGAAAGCTGCAGATAAAAATATAGGAAAGAATGCTTAAAAGACGACTGCAGACTGAAGTAGACAGGCTGTTATAGATTTCATGGAACTCTCGGATATAGCAAAAATTGGGGTTCACAACAGTGCCTCAGCAAATGCCGGAAGATTCTAGGGGTAGTGCCTGGGGAGGATGTGACGTCACTCCTGGGTGACACACTAGGCTGCCTCCCCTAGTTTCTATGGTCTTTACAATAGAGCCTGGAGAAATTCCTAGAGAGTCACTAGGTGGAGGCCATTTTTTTCTCCTGCTTCCCATTTTTCTGGAAGGTGGGAAACTGGGACTGGTAATTCCCTGCCCTGGATGGGTACATGGAAGGCCTAAGTAGGAATCCCAAAACTAACTAATATATAAATAAGCACCACCTAACACACTTGCAACATCTGCCAGAGTGCTTTGCAAGGTCAACGTCCATGAACAGTATTCTGCAAGGGTTTCAACAGCTTCCTTTAATGCCAAAGGCTGCTTACTTACAATATGTACAAAACTTAACTTTTTAAATGTCTTTATCTCAACAAACCTTAATCAGTGGAGTGCGCCCAAAGAAGAACCCAAACATGTAGGCCATGATGTCATTGCAGATGACACATGAAATTGGAACAATAAACCTGGAGAGCAACAGGAAGAGAGACAAGGAAGCTGTTCAAAGTAGTCACCTGGATTTAAAAGAAATGAGGTAGCATTCTGCAGCCCCTCTTCATGCAGCAGTCATAGTTGTACACTGGATCAGAGATCTGCTTACCAGTTCGGTGGTCACTGAACATTTAAAGGGAGCTTGGAGCACCTATCCTTTCATCAGCTACTAATGCAAGTGAATATATATGGAAGAGACTCCATTTTGGCCGGTGTCAAAGATACTTACAGGCCTCCCTTATGAATTAAAAGACTTGTATCCCATAAATATAATCTTATCTCTAACTGTAAGGTTGCCTACAAAATAGTGGTCAGTTAAGAAAACTAACACTGAATATATAAGTTAGAACAACAACCATGGGTTCCCAAAGTGGGCAATACCGCCCCCTGAGGGTGCTGGAATGATCCAGGTGGGTGGTCGGAGCCTTGGGTGTAATTGGGGGGCACTGAATATAAATAAGGGGGAGGTGGAAGCATAAAGAAAGAGTCCAGAACCTATCGAAAGCAGCCTTTTGGCGTTAGGCCAAATAAGTCTGTGAACCTATGAACAGTGGTAGTACCATGAAAACAGCAACTGCCAAAGCACCCCACCAACCCCCCACATCAACAGCAACATGAATCTGGAGTTTGGGGACAGGTCAAAGGCAAGAAACACCGTTAAGATCAGGCTGAGGGTCAGGAGTCCAAGTAAGCCGTTAAATGTGCACGGGACACAGGCGAGAAGCACAGTCAAGATCAGGCCAATGGTCATGATTTTGAGAGAGCAGTCCAAAGAGCAAGAGCCAAGAACCATAATCTAAGACAGACAGGATCAAGTCCCAAGAAGGCAGGCTTATTTAGGCAAGGCAACAGGACAGCCAACCTAAGAGTGGGTAAGGTCCTTACTAGATTATAGGTTGTCCTTACCGAGGAGGCAGCCTACAAAGACAGGCTTTATAGGACCTGAGACCCTTCTGATTGGCCACTTGAGATGTGCTGGATCCCAGTCAGTTGATCTCATACCATGAGAGAAACTATAGCTCAGGGAATGCTGCTACATACAGGCTACAGGAGCTAACTCTGTGGCACAGGCTGCAAGGTGGGGAGGTATACAGTGACAGGGGTTCTGGTGTGTCCCACCCCCTTACAAGCATTCAAAGTCCTGTCTGAAAAAGAGAGGGTTTTACTTGGTGCCTAGGAACGAGAAAGGCACCAGGGCAAGCAGCTGTGGACAGAAGACTCCATAAATTAAGTGCCACTGCAAAAGAGATGCACAGACAAGTGCCTCTGCAGATGATCATTAACTAGGGTTGCCAAGCCCCCCCCGGGGGGGGGAAACCCCGCCCGGGAGGCCCGTTTCCCGCCGCCGAATCGGGCCCGGAGGGGAACCCCACCCCCAAAGCACGTCACACAGAAGTGACGTAAGCACGTCCAGGACGTTGGGGGCAGGGCCAGAATCATCCGAGGGGAAACTCTATGGTTTTCCCTCAAATGATTTTGGCCCTGCCCACAACATCCCGGGCGTGCTTACGTCACTTCTGTGTGACGTGCTTGCGGCGCGCGCGAAGACTCCCGGAGCAAGCCGGGACTCCCCCGCTCCAGGAGAGGTGAGTACTTGGCAACCCTATCATTATCTGGCAGGCAAGCCCATTTGGCAGAAAGGGTCTCATTAAATATCGTGATCCTAAACTGTTAATAACCAGCACTGTGGGCAGACCATGCTCATCAAGTCTGCAGCTGAGATGCTAACCAAAACTGAAGAAAGTACAGAGCCACTGAGGAAATTACCGCTTCCATCTGTAAGACAAACCTAATAGTATCCCCCAAGATGCTTATTCAGGAGAAGTGGGGGCCCATCTAGAACAGGCCGACACAATTTCAGTATGTGGGCCCTTAGCCCATTAGTGCCTCCAAGCACCAGTTCGGGATGAGTGCTAGCACGGTGCAGTGGTTAAGAGTGGTAGATTAGGATTTGTGAGATCCAGGTTCAAATCGCCGACTCTGCCATGGAAACTTGCTGGGTGACCTTGGGCTGGTCACACAATCTTAGGCTTAGCTGGAAGCCAATTTGGGTGGCTTCCCCAGTACTGCTGACAGGTACAGAAGAATCAACAGGGCCATGCTCCCACTTTCTCTTTTCCAGGGTAATCAAGGCACTTTTTCAGTTCCCTTAGGGGTACCCCAGATAATTTTCTGAATTTTATTTTGAACATAGTATTTGAAAGGTTTACCAGTCAAACTGCATTCTTCCAACTATAATGCAACTGAACGTATTCACACAGACATCTAATGTTCTGTTTAAATGAGCAACTACCACTGAACTCTGTTAAGCAGATCTCTTGGCTATCAAAAACTACAAATATGACTGCAGAAGACGGATTTCCCTTCACTATTTTCATAGTCTCAACAGTTTAGCGATTCAAGTTAAGTATAGAATGTGATTCAAGAACATATCTGTTCTGAGCTAAACTCACAATGTTTATCTAGCATGAAACTCAAGCACTGTTTCAAGAAATATTTTGATAATTCGATCAAGTCCCCACTAAGTCAAAGTATTTATTTAGCAAATACCTTCAAGCAATCATAGATGGGAGGGACGTATACATTTTAAACAACTCATGCCATTGTAACCGCAGAAAGGGAATTTAACATGAGACATGTATGTTGAAAATCCTCCCCCTTTTCCCTAAAGGATTAGAATACTGGTCTGATTTGCCAAAAAATAAAACAATTTGTTTACAAATGAAAACAGGGGAGGGACCACCAGAAGCCAATTTTGCAAACCAACCCCAGAATTATTGTGATAGCCACCCATCACAGAAACAAATGTTATCTGAATAATCAATTCATACTTAATGTAAACATGTACGTCAACTGTAAGTTGTATAACCTTGACATTTTATTAACATTATTTTATTCTGTTTATTTTAGCATTTTGTGCTGGCATGTTGTTATTAGTAATATGGACAGGCACAGATCTGTATCGCCTGCCAACTCTGGATGCCATGCATTGTGGTGGTTACGACAGGGCATTGGAAGGATGTATTCTGCGGAATTTTCCCCAGCAAGGCTGAATGACTGAGTGCTGGTATAGAACAGGTGCTATCTACTTAGATCTACCTGCCTTACCCCAGCCAACAAAGCTCAATGCACATGGGCTCGTCCTTGCCAGTTTTAGTCTTCATATGCTTTGAGACGAAATGTGTCATTTGGCTTTCTGAGTTACTTGCAGGTTTTTTTTACACCACCCCCTATGCTTGTAGTTTACAACTCCTTTACATGTTAGGGAGGGAGTACAAATAAACCACTCCCTAGTTTCTGCCACACTCTGGTACCCTGGATTCTATCATATCTAAGGGCATATTCCTAGGGAAGGAATTTCCATTAACACCAGAGCCTGTTCAAGATGGGTAGCCATGTTTGTCTGACTGTAGCAGTAGAAAAGAGTAAGAGACCAGTAGCACCTTAAAGACTAACAAAACTTTTTGGTAGGGTATGAGTTTTTGCGAGTCACTGCTTGCTGTATCTGAAGAAGTGAGCAGTGACTCATGAAAGCTCATACCCGATCAAAGATTTTTTTTTAGTCTTTAAGGTGCTACTGGACTCTTACTCTTTTCTACTACCTGTTGTTCATAATGAAGATAAGCAGAGGGAACAGACATTGGTAATGTAACTGAGTATTTAGGTTTACATGAGCGTTGCCTTGTCATTAGAAACCCAACTGAAGCAAGTGCTCAGCTTTAGGTTTCATGTGCCCAAAGTTTTGTTGAACACAGAACAGCTATTGGTTTTAGTGGGCAAGCTATCTTCCAACTCAAGGCCCTCTGAGTAGCTCTCTCATATTTAATAGGGATCACTAGCATTCAGATGTTGCCTGGAGCAACCCTGCGTTTCACTTGCTTTTTCAAACCAGGGAATGCTTTTAGGAATATCATCATGCACATCCCAGGGGACACTCTACCCAAAAGTCCAACCACAGAGCAGTAGGGTGTGGCCCATTTCTTTTTTTTTGGTACTCCCAGTAAGTCAGTTATAATGTTGCAGTTGCATGCAAGAGTGGCCCTCCCCATGCTGGGCTTTGCTCAGGGTGACTCAAGTGACCCATTCCACACAGCACATGCCTAGAGAGATCTGTATACAGTACCGACTCACCAGATCATTCCTTCAAACAGGTTGTGAATGATGAGGTGCGACTGGGTAACAACAATTAGCAAAGTCACATGGGTCCAACCAAACTGGAAAGAGAGAACAGCATGCAGTCCCAGTTTGCCAAAAAGAAATTCCAACATTTCTTAAAAAAAACAAGCCAAGATGCTGATTAAGAATATTACAAAAGCAGACACAGCAAAAAAAAAAAAGCACCCAGACCCTTCAGAGAATTTGGCACGTAACATTCTAGAGTGACAACACTACACTAGCGTAAAAAAGAAAAAGCTGACCCTTATCAAGCATATCCTTCCTGGTGCTATCCTGTATTTTACAGAACACACAGGTCATGCCCCTCTCACGAGAGCAATCTTAACAGACCGAACCACCTGACTTCCAGAACAAGCCAAGTGCAGAAGCTTCAGACCATTTCAAACGGCAGAGGACACCACATTTTTAACAGGGATCATTTTGCTGGCCACACTGGCACGGGCTCTGCCCCCTGACTTACAACCCATGATAGGGATGGAGGCTGTTTAGTCCACTTCTTTCCAGGGGGGACAGAGCACTTCAGCTGCTCATGACCATCTCCCTGTGTCTTGGGCTACTGCACGAAAAAGAGCCCTTGGGTATTCTATGGGGAGAGCTCTGCTAATTGCTCTTGCAAGTTTTCACACTGGCATGTTTCAAGCTCGGGAGAAAACAGATCGTTATGTACAGGGCAGGGTGGGGAAGGGGTGGTGTTCCTTGGAATCAGGAGCTATGTTGGGGGTGAGACGGCTTTTAAGTACCTTGCACAACAGGCATTTATGATGCACCGTCCCCGTTCCCATTAGTTAAACTTATTATTAACACTAATCATCAGGCCTCGTAGATGCCATTATTAGTTAAGTTATTCGCTTTTTGCCAATTTCAACACTACTGTTTTGGTGACAGGAGTGCCAGCTTTCACTGGAACACTTGAATGTTTTACACCTGATAACTGTGCAGTTGAAGCTATTTAAAGTGGTTGCACCGCTGAATGGGTTTTACATGCACTTTATTATATTATGCCACCATCGATGTACCAATGGTTTTAAATTGTTTATCATGTATTTTTATACTAAAATGTATACTGTTTTATTGCTTTTATGTAAGCCGCCCTGAGCCTGCCTTGGCGGGGAGGGCGGGGTAAAAGTTAAATAAATAAATAAACAAAGTGCCTTCCAGTAAAGAGTCAGGGGATGCTGCAAAGTCAGCCTTCCAAAGCTTCTTGCAATTTTTATCACCATGTCCTGCCATAACTTCTCTTAGCCATCCCTCTTCTAGCTCCCTAATCCAATGGAAGGGAGATGGTGTACGTGGCAGCCACTCGAGCCTTGCTTCATAGCAGATAGATCTTCCTGGCTAAATGAGAAACTACATTAGACTTTCTGCCCTGCCAAGATGGACCACAACTTCCCCACAGGAGAGTCCAGGCCTACTATCCTGCAATCAGCTGTTCAGCATAAGGGACCTTACCTGGAAGAGAAACCAGTGGGGTACCGCCTTTCCCCGTATGTTCCCCCAAGAGTGCTACGGTCTGGGGCCCAAAACCTTCTAACCATACCGGGCCCCAAGGCTGCTAAACTGGCCGTCACAAGGGCTAGGGCTTTCTCGATGGCGGCCCCCACCTGGTGGAATGAGCTCCCGGAGGAGATCCGGGCCCTGCGGGACCTGGTGCAGTTCCGCAGGGCCTGTAAGACGGAGCTCTTCCACCAGGCTTTCAATTAGGGCCCCCACCACCCCCCCCCCGCTATATACCATCATGTGGGGGGGGGGTGAGGGCCCTAGGAGGGCAGGAACATCTGTTTAATACCTATTACACAATGCCCACTGGGGGATGTTTGGGTGTGTGGTCTCCCCTCTCTGATTCTTTTTGGAATGGATGTAGCTTGAGCACTTTATTGTTTTTATTGTTGTTATTGTAGTTGGGTTTTTAAATTATATATTGTGGTTTTAAAACCTATTATTGTATTGATGTTTTTATGAGCAAGTTTCTTGCAATGTAAGCCGCCCTGAGCCCTTCGGGGGAGGGCGGGGTATAAATGTAACAAATAAATAAATAAATAAATAAATAAACAAACAAACAGCATTGAAAGCTGCTCCTGTACTAGCTTTGGAGTGGGACCCCTCCACCCAAAATGGTAGCTGGCAGCTGATCCTCTGCGTCTTTATGTCAACCCAGAGTGTTGTGCTAAAAGCCTTCATTGGCATTAAGGCCACCAGACTTTTTTGTGTGTGTGGGTATTTATTTTGTGTGTGTTTGTGAGCTTGCATGCCTGGAAGTCATGGCGACTTTAGGCAACCCCTAGTGGGGTTTGGACGTTTCAGAGACGTGGCCTGATTGCTTGCCTCCGCATCCTGAACGCTGGGATTCCTTGGAGGCCTCCCTGATTTGCTTCCGTGATCTGACAAGATCAGGCCTGCCTGAGCTATCCAGGTCAGGATGACGTTTTTAGCTAACAAGATGGAAGAAAAGAGAAAAAAGGGAGCATCTTTTACTTGAAATATTTTAACCTGGTGTATTCCAGTAAGATGCTCATTGTTGTTTGGGCACTGGGGTGATCAGCTCTAATGTTGCCAGAAATTCACTGTTTAATGGATGCGGTATTAAAGGGAAAGAACATACCACTAAACCCCAAATCAGCAATGTCGAAGGAAGAAAATCAGGCAGTGCAATTAGATGTATGCAATATTCAGGCTGCCAGGAACTGCCATTCTCCTCACTCCTAAGCCTTGTGTTAACACAAAGGGAATCTAGGAATGCCTTTAAGGCTTTCATGGCTACAAACCAAATACATGAACAGCCCATTCATCGTTATCTCTCTCTTTTTCTGCCTCCATAAGCTATTAACTCTGAAAGCGGAAAATCCATTTCACTTAATCTTACCATGTAGAATTGGAGTCGATAATGCTTCTTGACCAGACTCAAGACAAACATGCAGAAGCCTGGAGAGAGAAAAAGAAATGCAGTGAAAGCTTGACATTTCACAGGATCTTTTCCCAGCTCTCTACATACCCAGAAGTGCGGAATTTCATGGCATCCAAGCACCTCCCTGGACTCCGAGTCCCCATCATCCTAAGCCTGACCCAATGGAGAGGTAACCAAAACCTATGGAGAGCCCGCCATGCCTCCCTCTTCTCAAAATCTTTGCATACACCCCTCGGCATAGCATAGTGTGTTGCCCAGCCTTTCCTATCATTGGCTCTCTGCCTCAGGGAAATGATACATGTTTGCTGCTTATCTGGAAGTTATAATAGAAAGGGAAGGGAGAAAAGTAAGAGTGGAGCACTCCGCATGTCTTCTTGCATCTGCTAAGTACTGGCTGGCTGACAGACTTGCATCCGTCAGGCAGTGAAGCCCAGCCCAGCTGCAGAGCACCCTTCTCCCTCACTGCAAGATCGGAGAATACTCAACACATGAGTCCCCCCCCCTTCCTCTGTAGTATGGGTGTATTATTACATTGCCTTTCTGCTCCACCCTTGGGAGACAGGAGAAAGGGAAGGGACAGGAAAATGCATAAAGCAATGATGTCACTGCTCACACTTTCTTTGCAGGGGAGGAGGAACTCAACCCAGGAATATGGCTTTCAACACCAGCACCTGTGCTCCCCCCTTTATCCATATTGCTGCTTGGTGCTGACGATCGGACCCTTCCCTGCTTCTTTAACCATCCTCAGATGTGTCACTTGCTTTAGTCCTGCAGGAATCAGCCTTGCCTCAGAGACACCCTGCCAATCGGAAGGCAGAACTAAACATGCTGAGAACAGCATCCTTGTAGAGGAGTTTTAGCTTGCCTTCTGGCATACAGTTGACAAGGGGCACTTCTACAATGCTCTGCGAATGTCCCAAGCATGAATGCTCAGGAACAAAGGATGGAGGGAAGGAGGGAACACAGTCCCACGCACCTGTTAAGTAGAGGGCAAAAGAAATGAAGCGATGGTATTTGCTGAGAATCCTCAAGGGCTCTTCCCTCTGGACCAGAGTGAAAAAATAATCTGTAACCGTCTCGCCATAGAAGAAGTAATTCACACAGAGCAGGAAGTACCTGAAGAGAGGGGGAAAGAGAGACCCAGCCTTTCAATACAAAAGCCTTCTTTCCCCAGAGATCCTCCTACCAAGTCTTCAACTCCACAGTAAACTGCAGGCAGAGGTCTTTCACTTCCATTTAACTAGAGATGCCAAGGTTGAAACTGGGACCTTCTGCATGCAAAACAGATGCCTGAACACTGAGCCATGGCCCCACCCTATACTCAGGAAAGGGTAAGGATGGTCCAGCATCACCCACATTGCGTGCCATCCACCTCTGGCTCGCACACTATTTCCGTCACAGTGTGGTACAAGGACAGGAGACCAGGAGGCTCTGTGTTTGAACTGACAAGCTCTGGTTGTCAAAGTAAACGCAACCCATTCATATGTCCATGAAACGTCTAAGGAACAAGTAACAAGACTATCACTGAAGTCCTCAGAACAGAATAAAATGCAGCTCCACTTACCAACTGAGTGTTCGGAACCAAGGAAGCTCATATGAGTGATAGACATTGTAGCCGATTGTGATGATCTCATGGAAGCACTTGATCTGTACACACATCACCTGCAAGGAACGCACAGGACTTTTACAAAATCCCTGGCCACATTTTATCCCACAGGGAGCAGCAACTACCATGGAAATCAGAAGAGCATGTATTATAGAAACTTTCCAAATTTTACCTTAGCGGGGGCTAGCTGCCAAAGCAAACTTGTTCTATGGCTGAAGTTTGGCAAGTAAGATAGAAATGTTTTAAATAAAATTAGCCAAAACTATACCACAAAAGTCATAATTTTATTAGATGTAATTTTTGTCTACTCTGTATCTATAACAGGCCAATTCCACTGCATGATAAATTAAGAACACCTGCACTAGCATAGTCTCCCCTTATTTTCTGATGCAGGGAACCACTGGAAGGCAATGTCATTCTCCTACAATTATGAATCTTTCTTCTGAATGATTCCCCCAAGTGGCAAAATCTGGTGTTTACTACACCTTGGAAACCAGCAGGAAAAGCAGAGTCCCCACATCCTGCAATCATCACCAGTTCTCATTACATGGGAGACAAAGAAGAAAGATTCATCCTTGAGAATTACAGGGAAAGTTGGTGAGGAGAGCAAACGTGGGAATCCACTACCAGGAGCCAAGGGGAATTCTAGTTGCCACTGGGCAACACTGGTCACCATGAGGTCAAAAAAGCATTACGGCTCATTAAACCCTTTGTCCCGGGAATTTCTCATTAACTTCAATTATAGTCCGTCTTCCTCACTGAGGCTCAAGGCAGACTACAAAATATGTAAAGCAAGTCAATCGGGTAGCAAAGACCTCCAATAAACAATGCAGTGAAACTAGGATTATGGGAATCAGGAAAATGCAAACAGAAACTCTCTGAGGCATGACATATCATAATGAAAAAAGGGTTACCGGGGAAGCAGACAGGGACATTTGACAATGCACAGTTCTGTTCTTGAGAGGGTAGAGGACAATCTCCATCACTGAAAGTGCCTCCTCCAGAAGGACGCAGGGCCATCTTCCCAGCCCTGAACACATAAAGAGAGTAGCCTCCTACCACTCTACAATGGCAACATTGGCAGGTTGTCTTAAGCAGTCTTTAATGCGATAAAAGTCAGAGAGGTCACTCAGTGAAACACCACCCTTCTGTCTCACAAGGTGCTCATGAGTGTAACAAAAGCATTCTCTGGTTTCTGCAGAATGCAGGGGTTTACATGATGTTAAAATTTCTCTTTCTCCTTGGGGGGGGGGGTTCTACCTCATTGCCAAGGGGGGTATGAACTGTTGAGAGCTACCCCTCAGCATTTCAGCACTCTTAGAAGATCTCCTCTCCAAATCATATGCGGTTGCCACAAAAGGATCGGCTGCCGGTGTAAAAGATTTGCAGCAAAAGACTGCTGATGTAGCTGCCTCCCCCTCAACTGTGAGCAGTTGGTCTTAGTGGTGGAATCTTATCTAGCACATGGCATACTTCCTGTCTTGACCAGAAAATGGTGGTGATTTCCTGAGGGTGAAGACTGGTCTCCCCAGGGGGGAAAGGGAAGCATTACTGAGAAAGAGAGAGACAATGTACACAAACTTACAATCATCATCAACACCATTGGCCCCAAGTATATTATGATGAAGAAAAAGACTATCATTGCCAAAGTCAGGATGCCTCTGACCCACCAATTCTTCCATCTGCATGAAGAAGAAGAGAGTGAAAAGATGGGCAGGCAATTACAAGGATTGTAGATTTTCATCACCACTGGAGGCAGCAAAACTGGAGAGAGACAATTCTGACCCACTGGGCACAATTCACTGGGGCAGCCCTCTATTCTGTCAGAGATCTTTTTTTTTTTAATTTTCAAACCTCAGTATGACCAGGGAAAAGATCTCAGGTGGGTGAATTAAGGAAGATGCCTGTCTAAGATCTCTGAGCACATCCTTACGGAAATGAATGAGGCGCATGTCAGTGCTTTGCACAGGAGTGGCACTGCAAAATCCATGCTCCTATTTGCTTCCCCATGACTTGTCCCCCATGGTCATTATTGAGAAGAGGAAGGACTTTCTGCCTAAGCAGCCAAAATGTCTTAGGTGAGGCTGGTGGTGGAATAGCTTCTGAGCAACATTTACTTGGGGATGGGGCATCCTCTAAGCACAAGGTGGTGAGACATTGCTCGAATGGAGACCAAAACTGCACATCCGGGGTCTGTAATGTGGTGCCCATGGGCAGCATGGGCTTGTCAAGAACTTTTCTGGCACCCACCAAGTGCTTTATGAAACTGGGCGGGGCTAGGTGGGGTTTTGCCCAGTACAGCTTCTGATTGGCCATGCATCCTGTTACACAGAGCTTCTGCTTACAATGCTGGAAAGCTGCTATTAACCTTGCTCTGTGGCATTTTGTGGCTGGCACCACCTCCTGCAGTGGCCATTTTGTGGTTGCACACATCTCCCTGTGTCAGAATTCCAAAGGTGCCTGCAGGTTCAAAAAGGCTGTGGACCCCTGCTGTGCATGATACCTTAACCAAATAAAACTGTTCATCACAAGCTTGCAACTGGCACACAGTGGCTCTACAGAACTGTACTACAGTGATCAGATGAACTGCACTGTATGGTTAATGGAAAGACAAGCAACTTCTTGCAAAAAAACCCCAAGAAACTGAACGTTTTACGGTGATACCTTGATGACAGTTTAGACAGTGCCCTATTAAGAACTTCTGGAGTATCATCAACTGGGGCTGCTTGGGCTGCTTCTGACTTGCATTCACTGTCAGATGCAGTTTCTCCATCCAGCTTGTTTTCCAACTCCGATTCCTGCACCACAAGAGACAAAGTTTTACTGCAAATGAGCAACAGGTTCAGCATTTCCTTTTTTTTCCCCCGGAAATTTTACATCTCTAATCATGCTGCTACATTTTGCACCTATCAAGGGCAGCCTACACCTAGGGGGTGGGGAAACTTTCTGTGGAAACTGTATCTGGTGTGGTCAGCGTAGGCTTTTATAAAGAGGGCAGTGACTTCTCTCCACTAGAGCTTTATGATGCCCTAGCTGAGATTATTTACTAGTGCCCATCTTCCATCACTTGATTTTAGTGGTATTTTCATTACAACTTAGATGTGTTTAAATTGGATTTGTTATGTAAACAGCTTTGGAGAGCCTGCTGGCTGAAAAATGGGACTGAAATGGGATTAAAAGCAAAAATGAAATATCCTTCTCCACCTCCTATTACCACTAGAACTTCAACAGTATTTGTCTGTACATCACAGCTGGCAGGATCCTGGTCCAGGGAGTTCCAGGTTCAGCTCACGAACAAAGCTGGCTGGCTGGTCCTGGCTGGTTTACCATCTCTCAGACGAAACTACTTTGCGATGTTATTGAGAGGCCTTGGTAGCTGCCCTAATCTGAGATCAGAGGAAAGGTGGGATACAGGGGGGGGGGAGCGCGAACAGGAGATAAAATTAAAATATGCACCATAAAATTCTAACGTTAAGAGGCCTTTGCACACCTCTGTGCCAGATCAGGGCTAACCTGCTCCAAGCTCCTGCAGATGGATCTATGTACCAGAGTGGGTGCGCAAAAGGAGACAAGGTAAGTGGAGGCCACAGGCCCCATGAAGATGAAAGGAGGAGAGTTTCTCCAGCACTGATTTCTGGAAGTAAGAGAGTTAACAACTATACACTGTTCTTAATATAGGATGGAAGGAGGAGAGAAGAGAGGAAGCAGGATGGCCTGTTAATTGGCACCATCTTTACATCTCCAATACAAATCACAAGTGATGACCTTCAAACTAACAGCTTCTGAAAGCCAAATGAGCTGCTTACTGATGTGCTGAACTCTGGTCCAGCTGAGAAGTTTCTATGGCAACCACCTCTTGCTCACACTCTGCCTCTCTTACACACCCACATTATTATCCACTTCCCTTGTTACTGACAGTTTGCACACAAAATTGTGATAACCCACATATGCACTTAGGGTTGTGCATTTGGCATAAACCAAGCACCCGCCCCCACCTGGAAAAAACCTTACCGGTATTTTTTTGGGTATTATTTAAGCCGAATACAGATCAGAGGATCTGACTGGCTACCAATACAGCTGAGCCCGAATAAAGCCAATTTCTTTTGGCTTTATATCGGGTACATTCACCTACACCAGCTGTGGCAGCGGGAGCTGAGATCTCTGCACCACCTTGGCTGGGGTTGGCTCCACTTGCAGCTTGGTTTAAACAGAGCTGCAAGAGGAGCATTGGCTGGGGCACTGGGAGCTGAGAGCTCCCTGCCATACGTAAACCCTGGGGCCAGCTTCTCCTTCAAACGATGCTGCAAAAGAAGCCAAGCCAGCCTCAGTGCCTGATGATTGTACATTATTTCTGCACCCATACCCAATACCACCTGGCTGAAGCAAAAGGGGAGTATAGCTTCCAGCTACAAAAATGCAACAGAGATGTCATTTTCATGAGGTGGAAACCCTGAGCCTGGAGTGTTCTAACTCTGACTACAGGTGGGATTCACATGACTAAACCCTCGTTTACACAGAAAAGAGATACACCCATAGTTAGTGAGAAGCTAGACAAGCACCCTTCTTTTTGACACATAATTTTCCACGTAGAGAGAACTACAGTGGGGTGTAGTTGTTGAAGAGTGTTGGATTAGTTTTGGAAGACCCAAGTTTGAATCCATATTCATGCCCTGGAAGCTTGCCCTGTGACCTTGAGCCAGTTACACACACACACACACACACACGGACTGACCTGCCTTACAAGGATGTTGTGAGGATAAAATGGAGGAAAGGAGTATGATGTAAGCTGCTTTGGGTCCCTATTGGGGAGAAAGGTGGGGTATAAATGAATTAAAGAAAGAAATTTCTATTGTGTCATGGAGGAGCATTCGGTCACGCATGTCCCGCCTGCTTTCTGAAATGATCCAGCTCAGTTAAAGGTTTACAGCCTCAGTGAGAACAAAGTTGCAGTTGCACCCCAGAACATGGGCACAGGTTTGGAAGCCTCTTGCACACCATGATGAATCACACCTGCACAGACAACGCTTGCTTCCAGACCCATTCCACTTCTGCCAGTTTGTTGACAAAGCTTAATCTCTGTGGAAACAACAAAGCAAGCCACAGGCCACACTGGTGGATATACAAAGATGGCAAAACTGAAGGCATAGAACAATCATGGGGTGAAAAGACAGGACAAGCAGGAAAACAATCTCTCCCTTATTATAATTGAATAGCAACGTTATATATTGCAACGTTCTAAATTTGGCCCCTTTAGTGTTAGGCCGGTGGGACTGCCACTTACCATATCTGCCGACCAATAAGAAGCCGAAGCCCGGTCCCGCCCACACCACCACTGCTGCGAGTCCACTGGGCGTCCCGCCCAGCGTTTCAAGGTCTTTTGCATGTGGAAGCTGATTGGACTTCATTCCACACCTCAAACCCCCCCCCCCCCGCAAGGCAGTTGGAATTTTCAGTTGCATATGGGAATTGCTGTATTCTGAGGTAACATATGTCCTCACTTAAAAGCTGCCTGGGGGATTATGGACCATTCACACACTTTCAACCTTAACATACCTCATAGGGGGAGAGGAGAATGATGACAGCTGCTTTGGTTCCCACTGCAGGGAAAGACTGCCCTTTCTCTAGGCAGAGGCTGGGGGGGGGGACATAGGGTTGCCAACTCCAGGTTGGAAAATTCCAGGATATTTTAGGGATGAAGCCTGCTGAGGGTGGGGTCTGAACTCACCCCCCCCCCCCGCAAGGCAGTTGGAATTTTCAGTTGGGGGAGGAGAATGATGTCAGCTGCTCCCTAGGCAGAGGCTGTGTGTGTGTGTGTGGGGGGGGGTTGTAAAGACAGACAGGCAGATAAACGTTGGCTGATGGTTGCCAACTCCCGGTTCGAACTCCAGGACATAGGGTTGCCAACTCCAGGTTGGAAACTTCCAGGATATTTTAGGGATGAAGCCTGCTGAGGGTGGGGTCTGAGGAGGAGGAGGAAGAGGGGGACCTCAGACAGATACAATGCCATGCTGCCCACACTCCAGACAAGCTGTTGCCAGTCTCCAGGTGACAGCTGGAGAGATCTTATAGCTTTGGTGCTACTTCAAAGTTCCCCAGGAGCCCAAAACAGAGTAGTGTTTTGGAAAATCTTTAGGAATTGTTTGGTGCATTTACGATGGGGCTCCTGGGGAACTATTGTTGCCAATCTTGGCCCAGCAGCCATCAAACCATTCTCTTCAACCCCCTGCTGTGCAGCTGACTTTCCCCTAGGGTTGCCAATCTCCAGGTGGGACCTGGAGATCTCCCACTGTTACAATTGATCTCCAGATGACAGAGATCAGTTCCGCTGGAGAAAATGGCTGCTTTGGAGGGTAGACCCTATGACATTATACCTGCTGAGTCCTTCCGCCCCTCCGCCCAATGCTGCCCTCTACAGAATCCACCCCCCAAACCTCCAGGTATTTCCCTCCTTAGAGCTGGCAACCCTACATTCCCCTCAGTGCCTGTTGGTAGGCAACTAAGCTTGGTCCTGTCACCTACTTTGGCCTTTGGGAGAAAACACATTGGGGGCAGTCCTGATAGGGTTGCCAACTCCAGAAGGGAAATTCCTGGAGATTTGAGGGATGGAGCCTGAAGAGGGTGAGGTTTGAGGAGGGGTGGGACCTCAGACAGGTACAATGCCATAGACTCCACCCACCAAACCAATCAGTCCCACATAGGGAACCATTGTTGCCAATCTCCAGGTGAGGGCTGGAGAGCACTCAGAATTACAACTGCTCTGCAGAAGGGAAGGCAGAAGTCAGCTGAAGTCAAAGGGGCAGATAATGGTAGGTTGATGGTTAGCTGGGAAGGAGATGGGGTTGCCGACTCCACCCTCCAAACCAGCCATTTTGTCCTGGGTAACAATTGCTGCCAATCTCCAGGTGAGGGCTACAGATCACTCACAATTACAACTGCTCTTCAGGTAGCAGAGATCAGTTCCTCTGGAGAAAACAGTGGACTCTGTCATTATACCCTGCTGAGGTCACCACAGCAAATTGACACTGTTTGCCCAAAGCCAGAGCACTCCCCCAGAGCCTCTTTCTAGATCTCGTTGTATTGCTTTCACAACGGGCTTTACTGCTAGTACTCTATACTACAACACCTGTGCCAAAACAGAATAGTTTTTAAAGTACCACAGGCATCTTTGTTTTGCTACAACTAGGGGTGTGCATTTGGCATAAACTGAGGCAAAAAAAATACCTTACTGGTATTTTCCAGGTATTTTTAAAGATAGTTTTAAAACCGGGGCTGCCCTTTAAATGCCTTCTCCAAGTCTTGCGACTCTGTAGCGAGTGAACTCCAAAGGTGTTTAAAGGGCTTGCAGTGTCTTTAAACACCTTCTGGGTGATATCGCCACTCGGAGGTGTTTAAAGAAACCACAAGCCCTTTAAACACCTTTGGCGTTCACTTGCGGTGGAGCCACGTGGCCTGCAGACAGGGCCGGCCCTATCACTAGGCCTGCTAGTATCTCACCTAGGGCGGAGATACTAGCAGGGCGCCAAATCCCTGCCACCACCCTCACCAAAAGCCCTCACCCTGCCCAAAGCCGCCTGCTGTTCCTTTCGCCGCAGTCATGGCGCGGCGGCAGCACGCATGCCGCTCTGCGCCGGCCTCCATGCGCCCGTGCCAGCTCCTGGGGAGCGCTCAGTCGACTGCCCGGAAGGGGGCGTGAAGCCTCCGGAGCCCGCCTGCCCACCCCCTTCCCACGTACAAAAGCGCCCTGGGTGCAGTGAGTTGAAGCGGACAGAGATGGGGCCGCCGGTGGTGGGGCACTTGC